TGGATTCGTGATATGAAGTTCGTTTTGTCTTAGCTAATAAAATTTATTTGACTTTTATTAATATTTTATTCTATGTCCATGAAAAATACCACTGATAAGAACTGACAGCATCTAAATACATTCTCCCGAATATTCCAACATTATACATTCAACCAATAATCCCAAATTATACTATACCATGTATAAATGATTTTTATACTAAGTTCGTATTCTCTCTCTTTATACCGACCTATGCGTCGGTCAGGAGAGTTGCGATTTAGCGTAGCTTTTATACTATTTAGATTTGAATATTTTTTGAGTGTACCACATCTAAACATGCCCTGATACAAAAGGAAATTGATACAGAAATACAGTAACATCCGAAGAAGTTAAAACTGAAGAGGACGACAGTGAAATTGAGGATTTTTTTTGGATTGACGACGACTCATTCGATGATTCAGGTTCATCAGGTGCTGGTGGAGGTGGGGGCTGTTGTTACATACTGAATGGTCTGGACCTTTCCTTCAGAGATTGTCTCAAATGCAGCGGGTGGTGGTGGTGGGGTTGGTGTTGTTTCTTGAGGGAGGATTTCATCCCGAACACTTCCTCTTACCTTGATCACAGACAGCAGACATAACACTCACAATCACATTCATCGCAAATAATGTTTTAGTTGGGAATGTTGCCAGCCACCACATTTCGAACACTTCAGTGATGCCAGTTCTTTTTCACGTCTAGTTAGTAGATGTCAGCTTTTGAAAATGATAAGTGGTCAAGGCATCCCACTGGAGACACATACCACATCTGACGAATACAGAAAAAAAAGTTGTTGAATATTACATCAAAACAGCTGCACATTAAGCATTCCGTTCCTAATATTACCATAGAGGTAACTCTAAGACCAGAAGGTCCCGAAGAAACATGCTCAACTTTTTGGCTCAGCTCTGGTACTATCTTCGGTCCCAAGCTAATCGATTCACCCCTCGAAACATAGGAAAAACCAATAACTCCTCATTTTATCTGTCAAACTTTCATAGCGAATCAAAACAAACATTGCGTAGTACTTTATTTCGACTAGAATGGGGCACGTTAATCGTTTGCTTGGGACCAATAGGCTAGTCAAGTAGTGAGCCAATTTAAAATCGTTAGTTTCGTATTGATTGTTGATATTACGCTGTACGATTAACACAGAATTCGAGAACAAATCATGTTGATGACTGTAATATTCTATCAACTTTTACCCCTTTTACCAGTTATTGATGTTCAATGCTTCACCATGAATTTCATTGATTGATACATATTATATTTTTTGCTGTACACACATTAAAGTGATGAGCGGTGGTAAAAAGGGCACTAATTAGTGATGCATAACCTCGTTTAAAAACTTGTTTGCAACAAAAAAAAAGCACACGAAACAAACAAAAGAAATCCTTAAAAAAATCTTAGATTCTGTGAATTTTTCCTACGGATCCGTATTTCTGCAGAATTCAGTCAATTCTATATATCTACGAAAAATTTAGTAGAACGGACATCGCTGACTTCCATCTGTTTAGTTTTTATTCAACACAGCTGACGCGTTGACAGAACGAGGGAAAAACAACTGGTGAAAAATGACATGAACAAGGGATGCTCTAGTTTGCACATCAATGCTTGGGAATGTGGATGATAGATGGTGCTAGCATAGAGGTAACTCTAAGACCACTGGGTCCCGAAGAAAATCATTATTATTTTTGGCTCACTCAGTACCAGAACAACGGTCCCAAGCAGTCCCAAGGTATTTCACTCACCCCTGCATGTTCTGCATGAATCCACACACCCCTGATGTTATCTGTCAAACTTTCATAGCGAATCAAAACAAACATAGTGTAGTAATAGAATTTCAACTAGAATAGGGTACGTTAATCGTTTGCTTGGGACCAATAGGCTACTAAAGTGGTGAGCCAATTTAAAATCGTTAGTTTCGTATTGATTGTTGGTGCTAGTGCGCATGCAAAATACGCTTGACGATGTTTTTCGAAGAATTTTCTTCTAAGAGTTATGTCTGTTTGTCTGTGCCTTGATGATGACGGGAGTCGGTGGAGTGGTTGTTTGTGTTGCTAGGGAGACGGGTGTGCTTTCCAGAACAAGCAATTTCTGAAAGATATCGGTTTCGCGAATTTTGTGTTTCCTCTTACGTTGGATTAGCTGACAGACGTCGGATGATGATTCTCCGGACAATTCCTCCAACAAACGTTTCCCTTCAATTTATCTTGCTCTGCGACACTGTTTGCATTTGGCCAGAACAAAATGTGCCCACTTTTTAATGTCCGCAGCCATCGATCTGGAACGACCGACAGCTCCTTACAGCCTCGAGCGTTCAATTCAAAATACATTATTTTATTAAATTTTTTTGAGGTTTGCGTTCCACTACCATACCTTGATGATTTTCTGAATAAAACAAGTCGCAAAACAAGTAAATTTACTACAATTAAGTCAAATTGTTTCGTACTTTTCGAGGTTACTGAAAACTTCTGCGGAAAACAAAACAAGCTGTCAAATGTCAAACGGCGCAAGTTCACAATAAGTTCCGCATGAACTTTTTAGCAACTTTCAAGTTCAGATAGGGTTCTACATGAATTAATCAGAGACTTTGAAGTTCAAAAATAGTTCTTACGGAACTTGAAAGATTTGGCTACTCTGAAAACCATTATTATAAATGAAATCAACACATCGAGTAAAATCATATGATATTCCACTTCGTTCACATAGAGCAGTGGTATGTATCCGAGGGGGGCGACACATCTAAATCTCAAGTCTATATGCTCAACAAATTTCACACTAGCGAATCAATCTTCGAAAAATCTTCTTTTATTTCTCGCATCTACTTGCATCGCGCATCATCTTTTTGCAGGAAATCTTCAGAATCGTCGTCAATCTTCTTTCTATCTACTCAGCGTGCGCGCAGCTAGCCACAGCAAAACACAATCTTTCCTGCATCGTAGATAGAGTCGTCCCCCTCGTATGTATCTCAGTTTCAAAATGGAGGACTCGAGTTCGAGACTTGTGCTAATTAATTTAAAAACATGTAGTTTAATTTAAATATTTGACCATATTTCAAACATTTATCTTCCGACGACGCAGCAGCTCATTATAAATTAGAAGAGAACGTGGTAAACAGCAAAATAAACGAGATATTTGTTTCTTTTTTGGTTTGTTGATTTCATTCAAGTTTTCTTTTTGGGCTGAATAGCATTCCCTCCAAAAGTTAAACGAACCTTTTGTGAACTTTCAAGTTCCCTTTAAAAGTGAAACAGCATTCTGTTTGAAGCTTAAATATCGAATGTGAACTTCGAAGTTCGGTTAATTACTTAAAAAGTTGGCTGAATAGAATTCTCTTCATAATCCTTCGATTAGCCAAAAAAGGGCTTTTATCCGAACTTTTGGTTGCTTGGGATTGCTTTGACAGCATAGACTGGTTGAATTAGGTATTCTAGGTCTTCATTGTAAACCTAGTTAGCTCGTAAAATTAGCTTCACAGTAAACCCAACTAACATTTTCAGTTTTATAAGCCAACTTTTCCAGCATTATGTTGTAAAGTAGCTGAAAAAAAGCTGCAGATACAGCTACAAGCAGAAGCTAGCAAAATAGTTTTGGAGAGCGTTTACCCAACTTTTTCACAACCATTATTCAAGCTAACACAATTTATTAGCGGAGTACAGGTTGTTTAGTTGTTGAAAAATTACTTTTGATGTTTATGTTATTCAGCAAGAGTGGTTGTTTGTATCAACAATCAATACGAAACTAACGATTTTGGCTCACTACTTGACTAGTCTATTGGTCCCAAGCAAATCGATTAACGTACCCCATTCTCGTCAAAATTCTAGTACTACACTATGTTTGTTTTGATTCGCTATGAAAGTTTGACAGATAAAATGAGGGGTTCGTGGATTTTCCTATGTTTCGAGGGGTGCATCGATTAGCTTGGGACCGAATATAGTACCAGAGCTGAGCCAAAAAGTTGAGCACGTTTCTTCGGGACCTACTTGTCTTAGAGTTACCTCTATGATTAAAGTGCATCCTCTTGGATGTAATATTATAATTTATTTTTTACTTTTGCAGGCAGTGAAAGCTTCGGCTTCGTCGGAAGTGTAACTTGCGTGTTACAATTTATCCCGTTTTGTGTAGTTTTGCTGCCGAGTGTAATTTAGTCGTGTTTCACACGAGCGTGTGCCGTGTTTGTTATGTGTTGTTTTTGTTGTCATTTCACGGTCCGCAACATACTCACCACTATGCCTTTGTGAATAATTTTAATTTGTAAATTTTGCACGTCATTTTATTTAGATTTTTATGTTGTTAGCTTAGTTAGTTAGGAAAAAAAACAAATATCGTGTGATATTGTTGCGCGTCCCATATAAATTAAGGTCTAGGTTCTCCTCCCGCTGCAAGGAAAGCAATATTTATGCAGCAACATAAATGTGTCAAGCGCCGCTGCAGGAGCAATCCTTCCCCGTTATTTGCCAAGGAGAGCTGCTAAGCTGCCGAAGACGAAAACCGCTCAACACAGTCCGTGCTTTGTAGCAGCAGAACCGCTGCCAGACCGTCATAGAAGGGCTCCACCTAACAGCAGCAGTAACAGCGTGGAGGAGGACAAAGCTAAGTAGAATAGACGTCTTAAATTTGATTATTCTTGTTGTTTGGTTGTTTCACCCTAATCCCAACAACTTTGGAGGAAGTACCCTTGTTCTAGGCCACCCCGACGGGGTAAAATCGGGCCAGCTATAGGCTGGCAAGTACGCCGTAACTTACAAGTGTTAGGCCTTAGCCTTAGGAAACTCTTGACTCGCCCAGGCAAACTTTACCTCACCTGATGGCGGTGTTAGTTTGCGTGGGCGATCTGAGAGTTTGTTTGCAAAAGCAGATGCGTACAACAGTGCCTTCACCGTGTTTTGCTGGTCGTTTTATGATAGCTACGACAACTAGCATCGAGACAGAATTGATTTGCTGTCGATCTCGTTGAAATCAATAATGCACGAATATCTGCCTAAATGACATGTGTTCTTTATTAGCAAATTCTATGACTGAAAATGTGTTGCAAAAAACCTATTGTACAACATGTACCCTAACAGTAGGAAAAATACACTTTTGATTCCGTTATGTATGAGCTGAAGTCGCCTCAGTTTCTTCTTTGCAGCGGGGATTGTATCGTCGGATTCCTTGAACAAGTAACGCCGTCCACCCATAATGCAGTCACTGTAGTACTTGATCAAACCCTGCGTTATGTAGTTGATGTCGAATATTTCCCTGAAAAGTACATTTGTTCATTGTTTTGACTAAATTCTCCATTTAAGTAGCTTGAGGCCTAATTACTTGTCCTGTTCTAGCATTTCCAAATGAAGATGTCGGAAATTCTCAGTCCTGAAGACCCATTCGTTGTCGGTGAAGTACTGAAGCGAAATTGAGGCATCAAAAATTTTCCGCTGCAGTTTCAATAACCTGAAAGTTAACACAGAAACAGATACTTATTAGGTCATAGTAAGTACTACTTAATCGACACCTTACAGTGTTTTTCTTCCGCTCAGCTTCAGCAAGCCATCAACTAACATCGACGGTAGGAGTTGGTACAGGAAAAACAGCACATAGTAGACGACCTTGGACGTGGTTTGTTGTCCTCCGGGAACCCAGAGCATATTCAAAATTGGAGTTTTAAAGCACAGAGACTGCCCGTCAGTCACCAGGAATCTATAATCGGCTGTTTTGTGAACTTCGGCCGCACTGTTATAGATCGGTAGCTGTCCTTGCGGGCTGTTGGCCCGCTTCCAGGCGGCAATCAGAATGGCTTTGATGCTGACGTCCACCGGAATGCAGTTGATGTGGTTGTCTAAGTTGATGCACCCTGTTCGCATAATGCCGGTCCCTAGACCGGCCAGTAGCCCGGCCGGACCATTGTAGTTGTCGATCCAGCCGGGGATCGGTTCCTTTTCGGAGTTCGTTACGATCGAAGGTCGGAAGATGACCACCGGCAGTTCCTGGTGGTAGTCGTAGCAAATCTGCTCGGCGAGACCTTTGGTGAAGGTGTAGGTGTTGGGCGAGAAGCCGGTCAGTCTGGAATGGTATGATATATGTACATATGGACAGTAGAGTAAGGTAGGGCAAACTAATACCACAGACAAACAGAAATAACACGCCATCGCCATCTGTTCAGCGTACTGCCCATCACAGTGTACTCAACAGCTGGCCGTAATGTTTTAGCGACGATGTTTTACAGTGAGAAATATTCAAGTTGTTATGTTTGTTTGTCTGTGCTAATACCATACACAGGATCTCTCATTCAAGGTGCAGCTAGAACGATTTATTCGGAAGGGTGTTCAACACTAACTTTTGCCCCACCGGGCACCAATGGGGCAAAAGTTCGCAAGCTGAATGGCAGTTTTTGAGAAGTTTTGCCTGTACAAATCTTTAAATACCCCATGATGGTGTGAAGGGCATAAGGAAACCACATGTTTGTGCCCATATATTGTCAGGACTTGGCAAAAAACGTAATGCACTTTAAAATGGTGTGTTGCCACATGCAATAAGATCGCAATTTTGTCGAGGATTTTGTCACATTCTGCTCCTTTTATGATTGTTTAGAGTAAATAAATGCGTTTTAGGCATACCCCATTCTAGTCGAAAGTCTAGTACTACACAATGTTTGTTTTGATTCGCTATGAAAGTTAGACAGATAAAATGAGGGGTTAGTGGATTTTCCTATGTTTCGAGAAGTGAATCGATTAGCTTGGGACCGAAAAGAGTTCCAGAACTGAGCCAAAAAGTTGAGCACGTTTCTTCGGGACCTTCTAGTCTTAGAGTTACCTTATGGTAAAACCATAGAGGTAACTCTAAGACAAGATGGACCCGAAGAAACGAGCTCAACTTTTTTGCTCAGCTCTGGTACTATCTTCGGTCCCAAGCTAATCGATTCACTCCTCGAAACATAGGAAAATCCACGAACCCCTCATTTTATCTGTCAAACTTTCATAGCGAATCAAAACAAACATAGTGTAGTGCTGGAATTTATACTAGAATGGGGTACGTTAATCGTTTGCTTGGGACCAATAGGCTAGTCAAGTAGTGAGCCAATTTAAAATCGTTAGTTTCGTATTGATTGTTGGTAATACGTTGAATGTACATACTTCGTCTTTTGGAATTGGATATTCAGGAGATTGAATAAATCAATTATTCCCTATCTCAAATTTAAAATTTTATCATTTTTACCAAATTTATTTCGATGCAACGTTAGCACATTTTGTTATTAATTTATTTGATAAGGCTCAAACGAATTAACTGTACAGAGCCGAGGATTCTTGTTTACTATACAATACATCTTAAAACTATAGTCAAATGGTACAACACAATAAACATTTTATCTTCCGCTATCCAATAAGCCTCCTCCCACCAGAACATGAGCCGCTTCCGAGATGTTTTATGACAGGTGGGCAAGAACTCACAGTCTCCCAGTGTAGGTGAGTTCTTTACCGTTAATGTTCACGAAAAGTTCACTAATTTGCCATACAGAAATTCAAAACAAAAATTTTATGGGCGGATTTGGATGGTTTTTTACCTGTTTCATACGACCGAAAGGTGTATGCTGGTCACAAATGCCGTGCCAAACTGATTTCTCACGTAATTAATCAACCTTTGATGTGAATTTCGCTAATAAACACGAGGAGCATTTCTTATAGCAAAACTTGCCAAACAAAATGGGCATAGTTTATTTTAGTAAACAAACTAATACTTCTTCCTTGTGTGTCACCTTTCATTCAGCTCCTAGAGCCGCTTGCAGTGGTTTCATTGTATGGCAGATTCGCCAACGAGGGTCAGAGCGCTTCCATTGCAGCAATGGACGCAAAACGTGGTCATCACTCACACACTAATCACGAAACGGTTGCTTTCCAAAGTCGACGACGCATCGACCGAAAGAACTGCTGATGAAGAACAATGAGGAGGACCATACAATGGTTGCTGCCGAGTAAACAGACGATCGCGTGACACACATTGAGAGTGGTCTGCTTCTGTCGACAGCCGAGTGAACACTGAACGTTAGCACATACACGCCTAAAAAAATTGATGTAAATTTAGGTGCTCTGAGACTGACATATACGAGCGTCAATTTTGACATAATAGACGCAAAATTCAGCTCAATCAAACGTACTTTCGAACTTTTCAGTCTTGGAGTACTCAATTTTATACGACATGTTTGTTTACGTCTCATCATTTATGTCAAAGATGGATTCCATCACGTGTAAGATTAGGTATTTCTAAGTGTGCAGATTTTGCCAAACATCAAGGTAAATAAAGATTTTAAATTTTTGTTCAAATTTGAGTTAGGCCCTAGGGCCAAAAACTGGAGTACTAGCAACAATCAATACGAAACTAACGATTTTAAATTGGCTCACCACTTTAGTAGCCTATTGGTCCCAAGCAAACGATTAACGTACCCTATTCTAGTCGAAATTCTAGTACTATGCAATGTTTGTTTTGATTCGCTATGAAAGTTTGACAGATAAAATGAGGGGTTATTGGGTTTTCCTATGTTTCGAGGGGTGATTCGACTAGCTTGGGACCGAAGAGAGTACCAGAGCTGAGCCAAAAAGTTGAGCCCGTTATTTCGGGACCTTCTGGTCTTAGAGTTACCTCTATGGTACTAGTGCAATAAGTGGCTCACCTACCCTACAGTTTATTTTTTGAGTTCTCTCACAAGTTGGTTCTAGTGTTCATGTGAAATTTTTGTTCATGCAATATCTCATGATCCAGGCTATAAACAAAGTTGTTGTATACTGCAATGTTGTTCAGGAAGCAAAAACCATTTGAATTGTGCAAAATTAAGTTCAGAATGCACTCACTAGGTGGCACAAACTAATGAATTTCGAGCAAATTCTGGGTCGATATCTCGAGATGTTTGCTAGATACAAAGTTGCTGTTTTCTGGAATCTGACCCCTTTTGAAATGTTGATAGCTCAGCTCGGAGTTCTCCCACTAGGTAGGCACTAGTATCATAGAGGTAACTCTAAGACTAGTAGGTCCCGAATAAACGTGCTCAACTTTTTGGCTCAGCTCTGGTACTATCTTCGGTCCCAAGCTAATCGATTCACCCCTCGAAACATAAGAAAAACCAATAACCCCTCATTGTATCTGTCAAACTTTCATAGCGAATCAAAACAAACATTGTGTAGTACTAGAATTTTGACTAGAATGGGGTAAGTTAATCGATTTGCTTGGGACCAATAGGCTAGTCAAGTAGTGAGCCAATTTAAAATCGTTAGTTTCGTATTGATTGTTGCTAGTATCCAGATCCCTGCTAGATACAAAGTTCCTGTTTTCTGCAATGTTGTTCAGGAAGTCTTGGCTTTTTTGAATTGTTGACTATTAAGTTTGGAATACTCTCGCTAGGTGGGACTAGTTATTTGATAAATTTCGTGTAAATACTGGGTCGATATCTCGAGCAAAAAATTCCAAATTTAAATTGTGATGTAAACATTCATACACGTAAACTTGTGTTTCATTAAACGCAAACAAGCAACTTGTATGCAATGTTGTTTTACATGATGGGCTTTTGTATACAATAGGTGCAACATTTCATGAAATGTCTCTGAACTTTACACGATTTATAATGTAAGTTTATATGATATATGACGCTCCATTTATGTGCATCACATTGAACAGAAATTTACACTACTTTTTCGAACCGTATAGATACAAAGTTGCTATTTTCTGCAATGTTGTTCATGTGGCCAAGGCTTTTTGAATTGTTGACAGTTTTGTTCGGAATCCTCTCGCTAGGTGGCACTTATGTTCTTATGAACTTCTTGTACATGATGCTGGGTCGATATCTCGAGATCCCTGCTAGATACAAAGTTGCTGTTTTCTGCATTGTTGTTCAGGACGTCAAGGCCTTTTGAATTGTTGACAGTTAAGTTTGAAATCCTCATGGTAGGTGGCTCTAGTTATCTTATAAATTTAATTTAAATACTGAGTCGACATCTTGAGATCTTTGCTAGATACAAAATTGCTATTTTCTACCAAGGCTTTTTGAATGGATCACATCATTCGAGCAGTTTAAAATGACGTTTCCTACCACTCGAACTTTAACGTGGAACAATACGAGGGGGGTAACACATCTAAATCTCAATTCTAGATACTCGAAAAATCTCACACTAGCGAATCAATCTTCGATTTTTTTTTCATTTCTCGCATCTACTTGCATCGTGCAACATCTTTTTGCAGGAAATCTTCAGAACCGCCATCAATCTTCTTTCTATCTACTCAGCGTGTGCCCAGCTAACCACAGCAAAACACTATTTTTCCTGCGTCGTAGATAGAGTCGTCCCCCTCGAAACAATATTTTAATATTTTTCCTTCTACAACCTCGAGAAAATAGGGTCTTATTTGTAAAATGCTTGAAACATCTGTAATTGATTGTTTCATTTCCGTAAAATCGCTGGTAGAAGATCGTCCCAAAACTGTTCGACAATATGATTAATTGTTGGCAGTTTTGTTCAGAATCCTCTCGTTAGGTGCCCCTTGTGTTTTTAAAATGAATTTCGTGTACATGCTGCGTCAATATCTCTAGATCCTTGCTAGATACAAATTTGCTGCTTTCTTCAACGATGTTCAGAAGGACAAGACCTTTTGAATTGTGGGTAGTTTAGTTTGGTATTATTTAACTCGGTGGCACTAATGTGTTTGGAAATTTTTAAAACTTGCATAGAATGTGAAAACGACATGTTTCTCGGCAATCACTAACCCGAATTGGACGTTTCAGCCACCAAATGAAAGTTAGTATGGTCCAATAGAGCATTTTTGAATATTTTTTGGATTCGGTTAAACGGTTCCGGAAGTATGGCCGGAACATGCTCCGGTTTATATGTGGCATGAGGCTTATTCCAACTACAAACGAATAAAACTCATCATATGACATCTCGAATCACATAAGAATTCAAAAACTAGTTTGTTCGGATATCTTGTTTCCTTAGATATTTTTACAATTAACCAACGGCTAACGCGGCGAAATAACATCGATTCAAATCTGCTGTGCACGATGGAAATTTTTAAACAAACCGAAGTACACCTGGTAGCCAATTCAGGAAACAACTATATCCAACCATTATACCAACAATCAATTCGAAACTAACGATTTAAATTGGCTCACTACTTGACTAGCCTATTAGTCCCAAGTATATCTATAAGGGTGCATCAATAAGCTTGGGACCGAAGATACAGTCAAAATTCGCTGGTTGGGCCACCACCTCGGCCCAACTAACGAATTCAATTCGTTAGTTGGGTCAACTGACAGAAGGCTAAAATTTATTGGGATGTACGCATGCTTTGTTGTGATTGAGAAGATTTCACTAAAAGCAGATTCAATCACAGCAGATTGAAACAAGTTGCTTGAAACTGACAAAACATATTTTTTTTTCCTTGATTTGTTTTCCGTCGATCTTGTTTTCCGTGCTGAGCACCAATGCTACCGACGTGCCAGGAAGGCAGCTCCCACACCTGGACCCTACCTATCGACCCATCAACTCATGAACCGGGGACCAACGGCTTTACTTCCCATCCGAGGGAAGGCGTGATCAGAGATGTTATGCCTCAGAACATCCCGGCGGCGCCGACTGGGATTAAACCCAGGCCTGCTGGGGTGGGAGGTAATCACGCTTACCACTACACCACCGGCGCCGCTTGACAAAACATATGATGTGTGCAATTTTAGATCATGTTTCATTTTAGAATTCAAAATAAAACTCAAAATTTTCGAGCAAATTCCAAATGTATACGATTATTACACGTAATGCGCTGTCCAAAACGCATATGACACCCCCTTGAATGGATTTATGTTCGATTGTCAAATCCAATTTGACATAAGATTTTGACATCCAGTTGCTTTTTAATTGGGTCATGGCCCAACCAGCGGAGGTCCAACTAAAAAGCAGCCCAAATATTAAAAGCCCAACCAGCGAATTTCGACTGTAGTACCTAAAAGATAGTATCAACAATCAATACGAAACTAACGATTTTAAATTGGCTCACTACTTGACTAGCCTATTGGTCCCAAGCAAACGATTAACGTACCCCATTCTAGTCGAAATTCTAGTACTACGCAATGTTTGTTTTGATTCGCTATGAAAGTTTGACAGATAAAATGAGGGGTTATTGGTTTTTCTTATGTTTCGAGGGGTGAATCGAATAGCTTGGGACTGAAGAGAGTACCAGCATAGAGGTAACTCTAAGACCACTGGGTCCCGAAGAAAATCATTATTATTTTTGGCTCACTCAGTACCAGAACAACGGTCCCAAGCAGTCCCAAGCTATTTCACTCACCCCTGCATGTTCTGCATGAATCCACACACCCCTGATGTTATCTGTCAAACTTTCATAGCGAATCAAAACAAACATAGTGTAGTAATAGAATTTCAACTAGAATAGGGTACGTTAATCGTTTGCTTGGGACCAATAGGCTACTAAAGTGGTGAGCCAATTTAAAATCGTTAGTTTCGTATTGATTGTTGGTACCAGAGCTGAGCCAAAAAGTTGAGCACGTTATTTCGGGACCTTCTAGTCTTAGAGTTACCTCTATGATAGTATCTAATGACGCGTTCATCATTGGGACGGTACTAATGGATATTTTTGGTCGCTATTGAAAATTTAGTCGATTGCTGAATTTATGTATGGGCCCAAATTAGGAGCATTTAGGCCGACATAACATCCATTTCCCCTACCTGATAAATATTCGACTATTTTTTTTTTCAATACTAAAAAATACCGAATAACCAAAAGTTTCGAGCTCATTGCCTGCTTTGAATCTCTCGGACTTCAACATAAAATCGTAGTTAAAGATCTTAGGAAACGCACCTAGATTTTGGGACTTACATCATTTTTCTAGAGGAAGATTCTTCGAGATAAGGATAACAACAAAATTAAGATTTTAAAACTGCATCTCAGTTATAGAATAATCATGAAAATTCAGATTATAATTTAATTTTCTTCAGATTTTTAAGATATCTACCGGATAAAAAAAGTTCCCTGAATTTATTCCAAATATCATATTTTTCCATATCTTGAATGATAGGAGTCTCATCCACAAGTATTCTTGAACTTCTGGAAAGTTCCTTGAAAATTAATGAAGTTCCCCAAACATCCAAAAAGTTCATTGAGCTTTTTTGAAGTAAGATCTCTGACAAACTGCAACGTTCCCTAAACTGAAGCAAGAATCCCTGAAGATCTTAGAAGTTTGCTGAACTATGTTTAGAACTTCTACAAAATTCCCTTCACTTATATGAAGTTTAATGCAGCTTTTCAAAATGCTACAAAACAGCCAAAACTTCTTCAAAGTTTGCTGCACTTCTACGTTTCTCGTTGATTTTCCGCGCAGTTCCACGTATTGAATTTAGGATCATATTGAAATTAGTTCACTCGTTAAATTACTCATTCAGAAGAGGAATGAAACATCTGTTGCATTTAAATTGAATATAATGTGATATTTTGGCAAACATAGGGGGTGTCTAATATGCCCCGGGCGTTCATAATGCCCCTACTGACCAGGCAAACCGGGAAAAACCTGGAATTTTAAATTGAAAATTCATTTGTCACCCTGTGTCAATATCTCAGGAATTTTGTATGAAAACTGTGTGTGAGGAACGATGACGTTTATTGAATCGGCTCTTTTGTCCCGACAGGCACTGTATAATGTCGGAAATGTATAATAAATGCACAAACTGACAACGTAAGGGCAGCACGTGTCGTTCGTCGAAGCTCGCGCTACTGGTTCATTCCATTCAAGAACGTTATAAATTACACCACAAATAATCGAAAGCAAGGCATTCACTCTATCCGATTGCTAATTAGATTCACGAATGTTCTGCATAAATTTCAGATAGACACTGCGTGCCGCTTCACTTACTTTTGCGACAACATTTCCACCAGCTCTGGATCTATCTGCTCGGCAATGTCAATAGCCTTCCGCCAGTCCATCTTGGCCGGGTAGATGCGCTCTTCGATGTCGAATATCTCCGGATTGCAGTAGGTCGTCGAGATGTGTACGATCGCTTTCAGGTTCTTCAACGTCTTAGCCCATCGAAAGACCTCCCGCGTTCCTCGGGTATTCAGTAGGATCGCCTTCTGCAATGGATCATCGAATCGGACACTGGCCGCCGCGTGGAACACAAATTGCACACTTTCCATTCGTTTCATGCTGTCTTCATCCATTCCCAACTGCAACAGCGAGCAATCGCCAGCAAGGGGAATTATTTTCCGGATAGCATCCGGACGAGTTTCACGTAACTTGTCAAACAGCTGGAAACGTTCAAACACACCATTTGCTATCAACCATCTCAACTGGCCCTCGAACTTAACCTCTAACCTACCGGAACTTGCACTAGATCGTTAACTCGTTCATGGACGGACTTTCCTTTCTTGGCGCGCATCAACACAAACACGTGCCCAATCTCGGGACATGATCGCAGCAACTTCTCTATTAGCACCTTTCCCATGAAACCGGAACCACCGGTTATGAACACATCCACCCCAGCGAACGTCTCCGGGATGGTTTTCAACGGGGTCGAACACATTGCTTTCTGCTCACCGTGACTGCACTCCATACACAAAAGTAAAAATAAAACTAGAATTGGAGGAACCCAAATCAACGTTCCCGTGCCCTGTAGACGACTGCGGGCCGGGGCAAGTGATAGCAATTATTTATAACTTTGTGCTTGTTTGTGTCCCTTAAAACGTTCCCGTCGAATCAATTAGCGATTCAATTTATATCGCTGAACGATGGGCCAGATCCTCTGCTTTCGGCGGTGACGATGACACTTACTGAGTAGCTTATGAAAGATTCATGGGTTCAATACGCAATTAGAATAGGTGTATGCATAGGTATAGGTGGAATCGTGTGTTTGGGGAATCACTCGGGGGACCGGTGGCTCCGGTTCACGCACGCGGGGCAGACTTTTAAATTGTCCTGCAGGGGCCGCTTTGGATTGTTCTTGCTCGTCGGAGGAATTAGACACAACGTGCTGTTGAGGTACAAATTGCGAGAAGTAAGTCGGCTGGGTCTGCTATTTTAACAAGTGAAGGTTTTGTCAAGCTGCTGCTACAGGAATGGAATTTGTACCTCCAGGGACGACCGAGTACGGGCGGATCGTTCGAGGCGTCTTCCTCTGTGTTCGAACCGGTCCACAGTGGGTAGAAAGGGAAAATTCGTGAACTTAATTGTATCCTGATGTTTGTGTACATTCTAACTTTTGGACGTGTGTGGTAGGTAGAGTGTATGTGGAATGATAATGATCGGTAAATTATAACTTTATTTAAAGGCACAACAATTTGAGAATTAAACCAAGTAATTAAACATTCAATATGAGTAGAATCTAGTTAGCGTGAAAGATGGTAGAAGTGAAAGTAAAGAAGAGAGTATGAGAACAAAGTTATATTTTGTTCTCATACTCTCTTCATTACTTTCACTTCTACCATCTTTCACGCTAACTAGATTCTACTCATATTGAATGTTTAATTATTTGATTTAATTCTCAAATTGTTGTGCCTTCATTAAAGTTATAATTTATTTATCATTATTATTCCACATCAACTCTAGCTACCACGTTTTTCCCCTCGTCTACTCTTATGAATACAGATGTAACATTATTTATTTATATATTTTGCTTGCATACACAAACAAACAGTATTGATATTTTTATATTGCAATAATATTCAACATTCTCACATTAATTTCATCGCCGACTTCTGACAGCTACATCATTCTTCATCTCTATGTATCTAGTTTACATCTAGTTCCAATGATTTTCATATTTTGCTGTTTCGCACCTTTTGGAATATTCATCTTATTTTTTTTCTTAAGGCGCAACTGTACTTCAGAAAACTAACTTTTTTATTTCAACAAATAAGGAGTAGGGGAAATAGATGTAATATCGGCCTAAATGCCCCTAATTTGGGCCCATACATAAATTCAGCAATCGACTAAATTTTCAATAGCATGAGCATGACCATGATTGACCGCCCACGGTTGCTACTCTGTTATTGCCTCTGGGATGTTGGGTAAGAGGGTAGGGTTTGCAGCAGGGTTCGTTTTGATAAACGATAAGCTGAATTGATGTTAACGATAGGGAGGGGTTACTGTATAAATAAATAAAAAGGAATGATCTCACTCCAAATAACCAAGTGGAGCTGCAACCGGCATCCTCGTAGACTTTCTTCGACCCATCGCAGGTATCTCCTTCAAACACAGACGTCAAAATTCCGGATCCATCTCATCGATATACAATTAGTAAAATATAACAAAATACATACAACCTCGATCTTCGTCACTCAATTTCTTTAAACTCATGCTATATATATGAATATTTTAACTGCATGGTATGATTGAACTTAACTTTGCCTATTGAATGAATCCACAATTTAAGTAAAGATTCAATTTGCTAAATAATCGAGGTTATTTAAGCATACAAGAGTTATACAAACAAGTATCCATGAATAATTTTTAAAATAGCAAAACTCTGCAAAGGTAAAACAATTTAAGAACATTGACCTGATGTATGATGATATCCAATTGATTCTCTGGGTAATCCAAATTCTGAAAACCATAGATCATATTATATTATAATAAAATAAAAGGTAAATACCAATGATATGCTACACATTCTGGTCCCTCAGGATCTGCAGGAAAACTATTTTCTATAGATTAGCTTAGCTTAGACTGACTGAACATATCAACAGTTGCTACTGCGTGATTGATCAGAATCAGTGAAATTGTACAATGAATCAACTGAATGGGGCTGAGAGTGACCGTCCATTCTCATTGTACAAGTTTCAGTGGCTCCATATTTTGTAGATCAATAACGGCGCCGGCCATGTCCTTGCAATCAGGTGGGAGTAGGGAAGGAATATTAGAGTGACCTTTGTTGTTTGTGGGCCGTGTTTACCTCTGCACACCAACAAAAGACACAGGAAAGGAGATTTTGTTAGTAAGTTGGGTTCGTTGGATCAGGATTCACCTTGATAAGTGATGATACCATGGTTTTAAATGAATCCGTGTTATCATACATTATACTTGGATTTGCCTGAAGCCTAAACAAAATGATGGATCATGATAATATAAATCTGAAGAAGTTCCATCATCGTCAAGCTGAAAATAAACTTAGAGCATGAACATGAGCAAAATTGACCGCCCGTGACTGCCAGCACCAAAGAGCTGAAAACCAATTCAAACAAATCAAATCAACAGACAAAACCAGGGTGAAAGCTATAAGAGTGAATCATTACAGTATAAATCTAGTGATGTTCCGTTATCGAAGAGCTGGAAGAAAACTTAAATAATTTAAATTAATAGATCCAGTCTCAATGAAGGCTGAAAAAAATAGAATAATTATACAGCAATGACCCCATTTTGTCAGCTAGCAAAGTATGTGTATCTTAAACATCCATATTGAAGGAGGAAGATATGAAATCACAATTATGTGGAGTTACTGAAAAATAAAAGTCTGATGCGCGGAGAGGCTGCCAGGATCGGGTCATAACTGTAATGTGAATATTTGGAAGATTTATCATCATCAAACTATTCTTGAATTAACCTGGAAGAATGCTTGTGAATAATTGTTATACTGATAAATTAAATTTATAAACTAAATGGTTCAAACAACAACTCCAGCCTGTAGAAAAGTTGAAATTAGGGAATCTTTACAATATCTGTACTGACATACAGGTTTAAAAAACCTGTTTAAAATACTGAATTACCGAAGCAGGAACAATGTAAAAACACTTAGATATATATCATAACAATTAAGCCTGCTAAGTTACTGTAGTAACTGGAGCACCTAGGTTAAAATGAAATGTAATTTATTTTGAATTTGGAACAAATAAAGAGTTAAAAATGGGAATCTTTACAATGTGGATCGTACGCTATTCTACCATAGAGGTAACTGTAAGACCAGAAGGTCCCGAAGAAACGTGCTCAACTTTTTGGCTCAGCTCTGGTCTATCTTCGGTCCCAAGCTAATCGATTCACCCCTCGAAACATAGGAAAATCCACGAACCCCTCATTTTATCTGTCAAACTTTCATAGCGAATCAAAACAAACATAGTGTAGTACTTGAATTTCAACTAGAATAGGGTACGTGAATCGTTTGCTTGGGACCAATAGGTTAGTCAAGTAGTGAGCCAATTTTAATTCGCTAGTTTCCACCGGTTGATTCCACTATCGATGGGCTGAATGTCAATCGACTAAATTTTCAATAGCGGCCAAAAATATCCAGTAGGCATCAAAGATATCCCACTAATCAATTTCTCGAATAAAGCAATGGAAAAACAACCCTTATCTGATCTCAGTGTCATATGGTGAGTGCACATTGAAACTATTGGTAGTCCCCCGCCAACTTCATTCACAGGGCTCAATAATTAACAGGTGCCAGCGCGGATGATGATGATCAGCCGAAGGAAGAGGACGATATCATCGTCGATGCCATCATCATTATATTGCGATAGGGTAGAGCGCTACTTCATCGTAATCGCCCATTTCCGTTCTATTGATCAGAAAAGATCAATAATATCAATGATTTCACCGTGCACAAATCAATAATAGGTTTGTTCCGACGCGTTAGTTCATTAGCTACAACATAAATCCTGTTAGAGCGCATTTTATGAATATTTACGCTCATTGTTCTCAAAACAAAAGAAGCGCTCCTAGCTTATCCCCTTTTTCTACGTTTATCCGTAGGACGAAGAAAATCTAATGGCGTTTCAATGCGTTAGGACGGAATTGAAACTCGTAGAACGAATTTAGAATCAAGAAGCAGTGTTAGATTTTAGACAATATCTCAACAATTTGTGACTCTTTATCAAATCCAACGGTACGTATGGAAAGGTGAATAAATTTAGAAGTCGTCTTTGACAGAAATATTCCATTTTTTTGTTTAAACTCGTTCAGAAAAGAGAGGTAAAGCAACAATCAATACGAAACTAACGATTTTAAATTGGCTCACCACTTTAGTAGCCTATTGGTCCCAAGCAAACGATTAATACCATTGACAGACATACAAAGCAGTACCGTTGTACTCCTTTAATCGAGTACCTCAAAAGGTACAATTTGAGGTACTAGCTTAAAGCAGTACAACGGTAGTACAACAGTGTACTTTGTATGTCTGTACAAGGTATAACCAACAATCAATACGAAACTAACGATTTTAAATTGGCTCACCACTTTAGTAGCCTATTGGTCCCAAGCAAACGATTAACGTACCCTATTCTAGTTGAAATTCTATTACTACACTATGTTTGTTTTGATTCGCTATGAAAGTTTGACAGATAACATCAGGGGTGTGTGGATTCATGCAGAACATGCAGGGGTGAGTGAAATAGCTTGGGACTGCTTGGGACCGTTGTTCTGGTACTGAGTGAGCCAAAAATAATAATGATTTTCTTCGGGACCTACTAGTCTTAGAGTTACCTCTATGGTATAACGTACCCTATTCTAGTTGAAATTCTATTACTACACTATGTTTGTTTTGCTTCGCTATGAAAGTTTGACAGATAACATCAGGGGTGTGTGGATTCATGCAGAACATGCAGGGGTGAGTGAAATAGCTTGGGACTGCTTGGGACCGTTGTTCTGGTACTGAGTGAG